CAAATTTTACACAACAATTACATGGCATTCCAACTCAGCACAATAGTTATACAGCACTCCAATTTAACACTAGTTTCATAGCGCTCTAACTTAACAAAACAACCACATAGATCTAACTTAACAAATCAGCCACATAGATCTAACTTAACACAGTAGTTACATAGCACTCCAACTTTACAGTTTCTCTTTCTTTCCTCTCCAGATTTGGCAGACTCCTCCTCGTTCTTCCAATGCTGCGATATGTCCCGTCAGATAGGATCGAACGGCTTTTCTTTGGCCGTACTATCGGCAACACGCCCATGGAAAAACTTCTTTGTGATATGTTCAAGAGCTGAAAGACCCCAACAATGGGACCAAAAACAATACTGCAGTGAAACTTTCATATTAATACACAGCATGATATCCAAAACAGGCTGACCATAAGGCGTTTTTTTAGCCTGTGTGCGTCCTCGAGATGATTGGCACAAGCCATTTTCAAGACAAATATTATAATATTATTAAACGTTGTTACGTTTTTGCATAAAATATCCATCAATATCTATCTTCGTTCGCAAGAAACCGAGCTCAAAAATTTAAAAAGAAACAATGAGATTAATGTCTACAATACAGGATTCTCAATAGAACGTAACAATTGCATTCTGTGAACGAAGACCCACAACTTTTAAAACACTTTGCCGCCTCATCTCGCCGATTGGCGATGGTTACCTCTCAGTTTGTTTGGATTTTCCCCAAAATATGATTGCAAAGTGTTAAATCAGATAAAACGTATGGGTGTAAAGCTACAGGTGCCAGGAGACATAATGTTCTGTGTGTGCAAGTTTCAGTGAGAAGTGTGAGACTGACTATGGTCGCCTGTGTGGTCTGAGAGATTTTTTATTTAAGTGATGTTTTTCTTGGAGTTGTTCCTCGTCTCCTAAAAATCCATTTTGTCAATACTTGTACATATAAAACATCATATTTAATGACTGCAATATTGAATTTTCTTCTAACGTTTTGTAACTTTGTGAAATTAGTTTCACGTTCGGTAGTGGTACATACTTCAACGTCGTCAATCGATGCTAAAAATTTGTGCAATATATTTTTTTTGGTATTAACATATTAACTTAACGGACTCTGGGTAGTACGTTAAGATATTCCATGAGAGATTGGCGTGAGTAGGAAAGCAGAAAGGATACCCCAGCATTATAACTTTTTAAAAAATCCATTGCCAAAATTGTACGTATCTTTATTATTTTCTTCTAAGGTGGTCTCAAGTCCAGACTTACTAGACACTTTTAAGTTAAAATTTTGGAAAGCTGAATACAGTTTAAACCATGCATTTAATGTTTTAGAGAGAGAGAGAGAGAGAGAGAGAGAGAGAGAGAGAGAGAGAGAGAGAGAGAGAGAGAGAGAGAGATCCAACAAGACAGACACATCATCTCTGTATCCAAAAGTGTCGTGCAAAATAAGCTTATGACTCTCAGAAAAGAGATATATATGTAGGTTTTTTTTATCCCGCCCCCTCCCCCCTTCACTCCTCCTCTAGCTTACTTAGAAGATAATATAATACATGTAGGCTTAGATATCAGTATCCATTGAGGCAAGGAGGACAGGACGACAGGCAAAGAAGACGCTACAAGGGAAAAGAACCTGAACACAGATACATGGAACAAGAACCTGTACTGATGTGTGCTGAAACTTGGGGAGACATCAGTCAAAAAGTTTTATATTAGATCTAACTCTTTCAAAACCTCGCATCAGTATGATAATAATAATATGATATAATAATATATAACATTTATACAGTGCATTTCCAAAAAAGTAGCTCAATGCGCTTTACGTTGGAATACCCATTTTCAAAA